TTTTTTTTTTTTTTTTGAATAAATTTTTAGCTGTGATACCAAAGGATTCTCTATGCTTCCGACTTTTATTGGGGATGCTTGAAATCAAAGTAAGGCAATTTATTAACGGCTATTGAGCCTGTCACCATCCCTACAGCATAAGTTGGAAACTGAAGTTTCAAAATGAAGCAATGAAAAATATACCTCGTTATGGAGTTCTGGGTTAGAAATGCAAGTGAAAGATGTTGTAAGCTAAGCTGATCTTTGATAACACCTTGTTATGGCAATTTGACAAAGTGGCATTCCCTTGATCTTTATGGGGAGATTACTCTTTCAATTGGGATTAGCGTCTGTTGGACTTGTTGATTTGTTCATGCTATTTCCTTTCAACTGAATTTTTATGAAGTCTCCAAGCTTCCCACGATGTGGTAGAACAGAATATCATAGGTACTACAGATATATACGCCTCTTCTTTGATAAAGCTTTTAATTTATGTAGTGTGAACCGGTAGACTATATCATAAGGAGTTGAGACCATATAAGGTTATATCATGATATCTTTCACTTGGATTATAATGTATTGGTTTAGTCAATGGGCTGTTATTGATGCAAAATACATTTGAATTTTTAAAAAAAAAAAAAATTTGTAGGGTGTTTTTTTCTAAATTGGAGTACTCACGTTCAAATATGGTAAGTTGTGGTCATCAGTTTGCTGCTATTATACGACATAGACATGCCATCTTCCTTACGCTGCCCTTAGTCAACGGGCTGTATTGAAGCAAGATACATTTGATTTTTTTTTTTTTTTTATATAATTTTGTTGGGTTTTATTTCTAAATTGGAGTACTTACGTTTCAATACGGTAAGGGGTGATCATCAGTTTGCTGCTATTGTACAACGCATACATGCCGTCTTCCTTACGCTGCCCGACGATACAGATAGGAAACAGCTCAGATTGATCTAGGAAAAATGGCAATACTGGGGCTTTTGTATGAGACACTCTTCTGATGATGAACCAATGTAAAATCTTAGAGGAAAAAGGAATGTCATCTCGTGTACGATTTAGATAAAAGTGTACGATTTAGATAAAAGTCATTATACAACAGAATTTCCTTCCATTTTTCATTTCTCTACAGCTAACCTTTTCAAATTGTGCTTCAGAATGCTAGATGATATTGGTTAGGTCATGGGTAGTACAGAAGGAAATGATGGACAAATCACATGTGTGATGTTCCCAGCTCTATGTACAACCGATATTCTTTCTATAAAATGTGGAGCTATGCTCAACGTGAATCAGACAGGTCATATATACTTTCAGCATTCTTTTTATCCCTACTAGAAGGAACAAGGATTACTCCATTTACCATCTCCATCTTCTCAAATAAATCAATCTCAATCTTTGTTAAAAGTGCCTAAAGTAGCAAGTTTAGTTTAGGTTTATCCATCTTATATGCATTGCCGTGGTCTAAATTTCTCGCTAGATAAGAGGGAACCGATCAAAGTTTCCAGCCTTTTCGATCCAGAACCTGGCCTGAGGATTGTAGGGTCACCAACAACAGAACATGGATCAGTACCATTTTCATTACTTCCTATGCACCAGCCTCCAGGAGTAATCATGTCTGGACGCCGAGATAAGAGCTCAGAATCAATTTTGTCAAGCACTGGATCTTCTCGAGGAAACTTCCTTGCAAACGGAGCATTACTGTCAATCATCCGTTGCATGTCTGGAAGCTTGAGGTAGTGAGGATGTTGTTTGGGAGGGTTGTCCCATGATATGAAATGGAGATCACTGTTCACAGTAGTGTTACGAAACTCTTGTGCATTGCAAATGACTGTATGGAAGTAGCCTTCAGGGGAGGAAAGAAAGTTTGCATAATACATAAGCACTGTTCGAGGTAAGTTATCCCATCCCCATATACAATAATCAATGAAAGGGCGAGAAAGAGCCATCCAAGCAGAACCTGCCACAAAAAGGGCAGATACTTGGTTAGAACCACCGTTATAATAGAGTTAACAGATAAAACATCTATGAGTTTCCCCAACATATGAGAATAAACCACAATTGATTACACTATGAAAATTCAGTATGTACAACATGAAGACAAACACTATAAATATCTTGCAGACAACAATTCTAGACCATTTTTCCTTAAAACTGCATAAATTTTTTATCCGAAAGCCTTCAAACAAAAAAGAACTAATTTTAGGCTTCAGAGTTCATTTTACTTAGATTGCTTTCATAACATTGAAATCTGAGGCAATTAGTAGAGATCCTATCCTATAAACTTTTAACATGAGAAGGAAATTAATCAATATACATAACTGCCGGCTAAAAAGCAAGAGCTAACACATCAGTAACAACAGGGATAAAACCAAAGGAATATGGCAGTAGTTCCTCTACTGCATGTAACTCTTCTTCCCTTACTAGCATGGCCGAAATTAAAGATAATTGAGACAAATGTTTGACTAACTAGAAACCCAGTTCTGCACATGATCCAGCACAATTAATGGAATAGGATTTAAAGTTCCAGTAATTCCACCCACATAAATAATGGAATAGGATTCAACATTCCAGTAATTCCTTTGACCTTTAATTTACTCAAAAGAAGATATCATGAAAACAATATCATACTCTCGTCAACCATATTGCACCAATTACACCCTCTTTAATATTTTTTTTTTTTTTGGTACAACAGCCTCTTTAATATTGTCTACTAAAGTACTTATACTTATATTCCAATCCCATTATCATAAACCCATCAACAAATTCATCCAGTGGAAATACTAACTAAAGGGCTGATTTTTTAATCTCTCCCACAAACATGATAGTAACCAAAAATGATTCCCTGAAACCAAACAGAATCAGAAAATGTCTATAAAGATCACACCTTTAATAGACCTTTCTAAAAGTGCAAATAGAATCTAAACACAGCAAGTGGCACAAACTCATGTATTTCCTAAAATGGAAACTCAAACTTAGAAGCAAGTTGATAATGCAAGATTTGCACCTGTAAAGAGTTTGAATGCTGTTGGCACACTTCTCCTCTGTGTAACCCAAAATACATCAGCTTTCTTCTGCATATACAAGCCCGGATCGACAATAACTGGCTTTGCTCTTTGAAACCTACAATCTCAGTGTCCCAGCAATAAGCTTCCAAAAATAAATAAAACTGAAATACACAAGCGATTGAAAAATGCAGTAAAAGGGTAAGGAAGATGCTCACTCCTTCCATCCAATATTACTCGTATGATCAATGAAATTTAGATCCCGCGGCAGAAATGAAAACACATGCAGCAGATCTGAATTCAGATTGATAACCAAATTAAAGCTCCCAAGAGAGATGCAATAACCCAAAATCAAATTCACAAAGCAATACCCAACTCACCATCTTGAGTAACAAGAGGATAATCAGAAGCACTGAGATTGATAAACCAGTCCCAGTCTCCTCCTTCCTTGAGCAAGATGGCCGCCGCGTGAAGGGTATTGGCGACCATAGTAGGTCCCCTATACGTCACCAGATTGGCTTTGACAATCATCCTGACATTCCCAATCTTAGCGAAGACCTGATGATCCTTGACAAAATTATGCAGATCAAGTCTCTCCTCGGGACTAGCCGCACGGTCGAGGTGAACAACATAATGGTTCCTCGGGTGGTATAGGGCAAGGAGGGTGCGTCGGAGCATCCCACCATCCCCGGCTGAGCCCGAAATGAGGTAAGCAAACCGCGGAGGCGGCGGAAGGTCGGAAATTGGAATGGGTTTGAGCTTGGATTCGACAAAGACGGACGACCCAGAAGTGGAAGTAATGGAACGGTAAAAGGGTAGGAGGTAGGTGCCATCCTGAGAGGAGAGAGTAGTCAGAAATATCAAGAACATAGAAACTAAAGAACCAATCGTTAATGGAATGATCCATTTCCGCTCCATGGCTTGATGATGCCGGATGTGGATACAATAGTTCTTCAATTTCTTCATTTATGGTTCAAATTTGAGTAACACAGAGGGTAAAAAAGTGAGCTGATTTAGAGTTGGGTTACTCTTCTTTCGTGAAGCAGGCTACCTCGGCGTGAGAAAGGGTGAAGAATTTCATTTATTATCATCACTCCATTTGTGTTGGAAGAAATCATATAAGGTTATGTATCACATTAGTTGATTATAACTATTTTGAAATATATTAATAAATAATTACTATTTTATAAATTATATTAGAAGGAAATCTAAAAATAATTAAAGTTTTAATTTTAAATTATTTTATTTTATTTTATTTAAATTTAATTTAAAATTTAAAAAAATTTATTTTATTAAAAATTAATATATTAAAATACATAATAAATTTTTAAATATTAATATTTAATAAAATAAAATTTTAATTTTTAAATATAAATCTTAATCAAATTAATATGTATTAATCTTTTATACTTTATTTTAAATTTAATATTAAAAAAATTAATTTAACATACACAATTTTGTAATTAAAAGTTTATTTTTAAAGTGATTCCTTGGAGAAAGAGATGCTATTAATAGAGATCTTTAAATAAAAAAATTATAAAATTGATACTTTTTTTTACACCTTTGTTGTTGTTCTTTATTGAAAGGACCAATCTTAGCAAGAGACTTTTTTTACACCTTTACTCGTGCCAATGACATCTCTTTTTCAATCTGACAAGGCATTAATACTTTATATTAGGCAGTTACAACAGTAAGTGCAAACGTGAGTCCAGTTGAGAAGGGTATTGATGGAGATGGTCACCTAATAGAGGTCACTCCTTGAATAAATATTTTTTACACATTTGTTTAGCTGGTTGTTGGAGCTAACAAATGGTTTTCCACCAAAGAAAATGAGGGGGAAAAAAAAGATTGGTCAAAAGGAAGATGAAGCAATAAACAAGGAAAAGCAAAATATGTTTGGAGGAGAAGCTAAGCTAATAGAGAAGTTTGAGTGAATTCTTTATAGTCCCAAAATCAAGCTAATTGGAAGTTTGGAACCATAAGAATCTTGCACCAAAAATGGCAATTTCAACCACTCTGATGTTTCCACCGAAGAAACACCTATAGAAGGATTAATTTTGTGCCATTTTAAATTGGTCTTTCAGACTTTAATAATTTATCTGTAAGTCGTAATATTTAGACAAAATTAATTAAAAATTTAAATCTCATTAATTACTTAAATATTTATATTTGATTTACGTGTTATTAATATTTCTCCACTCCAACCTATAAATTAATCTATTTCTCTTTTTTTCCTATAATTACCCTTGTTCAAAAAAAAAAAAAATTGTGCCATTCCACACAACCCCAGTATTATATTAATCGTCTTGAATTTTTCATCGACTTTGGTATTGATAATTTTTTTTTAAAATTTTTTGAAGCAAGGAAATTTATGGAGAATTCAAGACATAAATGAGAGTTGAACTACCTTAAGAATCCCAAAACATTAAACCACTAAATATAGGTCGGTCCGTATATTATGCATCTCTTGAATCAAGAAGATTGGGAATATTTTTAAAAAAAATAAAGGCAATGAAAATATTGGGAATATCGAAAATAAAAGTTCTATATAAAATTCTAGATTTTGCATAATTTTATCCTTAATTCAAACACGGAGACCGAACCATGCAAATTGAACTTTTATTCTTATCTCGTCATGAGAGTACTACGCATGCACTTGGTTCTTCCGGCCAAGCGGTTTTAGGGTTGACTTGCAGTGCATTTTTCTCTCCTCATGATGGGTTCGATACCCACCCTTGTAAAGTTGGTCAAAAAAAAAAAAAAGAGAGTACTACGCATGGAGACATGGCTAGTGTAAATAAAACATATGCTCAGGCAATTTTGTTATCATTTAGGGTTGTGGAACAATACAAGATAAAAGGCACATGGGGAAGATGACAAGCTACGGTGATATAGCCCATGCATTTTTTTTTTTTTTAATCTAACATGTGCCCTTTGTGTACATATTAAAAATATATTAAATATATTTTTTTTCATAAATTTATATTAAAAAATAAAAATTAATCTTTAATTTATTAATTATCTAATTAAATTTATTCATTTAGCACAAATATTAAAATTAATATCAATTTTTATAGTTTTTTTATATATCTTTATAGCAAAAATATACTTTTAACCTATACCTAAAAGACATAGGATAGAAAAGCATTTTTTTTAAAATATTTATAGTCATATATCTCTAAATCAATTTTCTTACACTTAGAGACTAATTTTTAGGCATTTTAAGGATGCAAACCCCATATTAGTTTAATACATTTAAGAAAATTAATTTCTTTAAATATCGGTCTTAAAACTTAAATCTTAAACTTAACCACATTTATTTACCAGTGATCTAACCCTTGGGTAGCCCATGCATTATTTTTGTGTTTATTTAGCAATTTCTTTTCATCTACAGCTTTCGGAGCAAAAGAGGATAAACGCACATGATATAAGGTAACACCAAAGATAGAACATGTGATTCTCTCACTTTCTCAAAGAGGAGATAAGCTACTTCTTAGTAAAAATCCTTAAACAATGAATGACCCAATCGAAAGAAAGGTATCCTTCAAGGTTATACATTAGAGTTCAGTCCACAAAATAGAAGGAAATTCATTGCTTTCAGTCCAAGACCTTACAGTGGCATAATTTTCAGAAAGCAATCAAAAAGCGTGAATTGTATGCATAAAAGAACATGTGAAGATAGCAAGAAGCTTTGAGACAAGGAAGCTCCATATACCATTTCATGCTACATGAGGGTTGTAGAGTTGAGATGAGTTAAAATATAGACTGTGTTAACAAAGCATCTGCACACAGAATGCAATTTATAACCTTATCAAGGAAAAATAGCATTAATTTACAACAGTAACAAAAATATATCCAACAAAGAAGAAGATTTAGATTGCTCAATTTTTGGGAAGACCTCTTTTTTTACCCTGTTGGTGAATATTGGCTTTTTCACAAATGCTGGCAACAACAAGATATAACTTTCTCTTGTTAATGTTAGGATCAGAATCCTGCTTTTTGAAAACACCGACTAACCATCTTAAAGTCCTTTCTGGCACCATAATGGGTGGGGCTATTGCACTATCTGCTTTCTGATCAAACTGAACATAACACTAACTTCTCCCTCAGACTCAGAATCTGGAAGTGGACCTGCATCTCCCTATATACAGCATCTGCTTTCTGATCAAACTGATCCCACAACTTTCCATAGGCATTACGAACAAGAGCAATCACATCAGAATCAGGAAAATACCCAATTCATCTCATCTTCTGGAACTCAAAAACCTTGATGAAATTGGCATGCTTCTTGTTCCAAGAATAAAGATCAACCATACACCCAAATACAGATATACGCTTTAGCTCCCAGCATCAAAAGCCCAGTGGAAAGCCATGTAGCCTATTCAATCCATCTTGCTCCAGCAACAACTGAAATTGCAGTCACCCTAGGAATATTGTCCGGTTTCTTAAGCTTGTGTAGAGAAAGCACTTGGCATGATCAACCAAACCAGCATTTTCATAGGCAATAATCATTGTTTGATAGAGGACATGATCAATCTCAACCCCAGAGCTCCTTAGCTTCTGAAATAGCTTTGCAGATCTATCCAGTCGTCCTGGCTTACCCCATATAGAGATATTATGGTTGAATATGTGATGGAATTATGTTCAATGCCTCTGTTCTGCATCTCTTGAACAAGATTGGTAACCTCTTCTTGCTCAAGAGTTTTCCCATATATCTTAATCATGGTGCTACAAGTAATAACATTCTGTTCAATGTCCTTCTTCTGCAGTTGTAAAGTTGGATCTTTGAATTCAGCTTAACCCAAATACTATCAAAATTGTATTATAACTAACAACATTAGGTTTTCAATCCCTAATTATTCATCAAGCTTCAGAACAGCCTGTCAACTTCTTTAGCTATGTCAAGCTGTCCATAAACCTCAATCCTTATATTTCCAAGTAGTAAGATCAAGTCAGCACTTCACTTCCTTACATCTCATCAAACACAGATAATGCCTCAAGAAAGTTCTGATTCTCAACATACATGGTTAAAAAGGGTTGTCTGGCAAACTGTATCAGGCATTATAACATCATTATCCGTCATCACCTATTAAGCAGCAACTTAGCTTCCTGAACAACTTGGCGTTTATGAAAACGTTAATCCTTGAATAATATGCCACAAGGATGTGCCAGACCTCTTCAACCTAGAGAAGATAGATATAGCCTTGGAATAACCATGCAGCTTTCTCGCAAGCTTCAACGGCCTTGCTTCATCTTTAGGAACCAAGAAAGTGCAGAATCAAACATGCCCTCTTTCCTGAAATACTTTAATTATCAGGATAAAATATGTGTACCTATCACTATAAGCACAGGAGCAGAGCACTATGGAGCATTTCCTCGAACATCCGGTGTGCGAGCTCCCATTGCAATTCGCTTGAGGCACATTGCGAATGGCACCATGCCACCATCATATGCAATCACCGAATGACCGAAGGCACTCGCCTCTTCATTGATCCAATCCAGAAGATCCAATAAAAGGGAGAAGAGTTCTTGCTCGTTCTGGGTTTAGGGTATCGATGCTAAGAGCTCGTCCGTGTCGACACTGTGGTTCTAAAAGTACACCGGTCCTTGTCTTCCTCTGGGGTTATTGTGAGGCAAGGAATAAACGGTCGTCTGTGTTCTTCTCCATACATCTTGGTCGGAGAAGGAGAACAAACTGAAACTTTGAGAGAGAAACATGGATTTTGGCTTTCCAGCGCGAGGAAAAATGAGGTGAATATTGGGTTGGTGAAGGTGAAAATCGAAGGGTGTGAAGGTGCACTAAAACAAAAGTAAAATGTTAAAATTTTATTTTGGTCCTCCATTTAAAAAAATAATAATTTATTTACTTAAGAAAAGGATTTTTTTTTTAATTTCTAAAATTTATTACGTAGCTTTCTTTCATCCTTCTATTTCTAACATGTATGTTAAATAATAAAAACCTCAAAATAATATAACTCAAAAGATACATAAAAAATTTTTTTAAATATTTTTGCTTTTAAAAAAGTCCTTTTTTTTAATTTTTTTATTTCGAAAATTTTATTATTTAACATGTCATTGTATAAAAAAATAATGAAAAGACAAAAAAAGAGTTAAATAATAAATTTTAAGGATTAAAAATAAAGTTTTTAAACAAAAAGACTAATTTAAAAAAAAAATAAAAATACTGAAATAAAATTTTAATAAAAACAAAATTGGATGCGCATCGTGTGTGTAACCGTGTCGTTTTAAGCGAAAACACAATTGGATCCACTTGCCTTGCTGGTCCCTATAGTTTGCAACAAGAACAGATCAGCCCTTAAACTTACATGCTACTAATCTAGTATATTTAAAAAGAAAATTTTTCCTTTATCAGCATTGTGAAATACATCTCTTATTTAGTACTAAGCTAATTAAATATGAACAAATGAATCATTTTGGAGACAAAAATCTAAAGAATAAAAATAAAATTTGTAAACAAAACTTATAAACTCAAGTTTCTTGAATAGAAAAAAATTATCGCTAAATCTAAAATATAAAATCATTTTCAATCATTAAGGGTAGTCAACCCGAGCCGTGCAGCAGCACTCTTGAGTTCTTCCTCCGTAACAAGTTCAATCGATTGTTTTGCATCCTTGAATGATGATGACTCCACACTGTACATTAAGAATGAACCATGAAATATAATTACATATATTTAGGTTCCATTTAGTATTATTGACAAAATTTTAAAAGCAAAAACTAAAAAGGAGAAAAATAGATGTACTTGTTTCCACAGGAAGCAAAAACACAATTTTCTTTGAAAAAAGCAAAAATTAATCATGTTTTCTTGACCTACCTTGTTGAGTCAAATCCTGCTTCTCTGGATTCATTATAAGATTGTCTGTCGTCCATGATGGAATCAAAAGGTATACCTTCGTAATCATGGGAAACTATTTCTTGATGAGGAGGGAAATCTAAATAATACGACTGAATCACATCGTTCATAATATTGTTGCTGTTGGTTAAATGAACCCTCGATATCTTATTTACCAAATCATCATCTGCTTCGACGAACAAATTACTGGGTGTCATTAGAGGCATAGTAAGATTACCGTTCGACGAAATGTCTGAACGAAGTTGTGACGAAGAAGAGGCAGGGGAGGGAGGGATTTGGTACTGGCATTGCTCCTTACAGATCGCCAGCCGGGTGTGGACGTACCGGAGCTCTTCGATAGATTGCTGAAGTTGGAAATTGAGGAGGCAGATTGCACCGTAGCAGCCATGGACCGGGTAGATGGCACGGATGTAGGATTCATATATGATCGATCGCATGGCCTCCTCCTGTTGTTCGACGTGGACTTGTTTTAGGATTTTCATGATGTTGTGGACGCCGAAGAGACGGTGGGCGTACTGGAAGAGCTTGGCCTTGTCAGCGGGGAAGTAAGGGGCGAGGACGCAGTCCTTGGAGCATCGGCGGCGCTGGTATTTGCAGGCTGCACAGGCGTGGTTTGCGCCAGTTTTTATGGTCATTTTGGTTGAGAAGTGGAGGTTCTGGAGACAGTTATAGATGGAGACGAGGAAGAGGAAGAGGAGAAGCAGAGCTTGAATGAGATGGGAAGTGGAAGGGGAAGAAGGATTCTTCATTGAAGTGGGATAATGGCCGGGGATCAGAAGGGAAAAGACCCAATAAGCCAGCATGAGAGGTGGGTATCGGAGAAGATCATCGGAGACCCAGTAAAATACTGGAATTCCGATTCAAATGGTAAAGGTAGATCTTTTTTGATTTTTTGGAGTATATTTGGAGCGTTTCATTTGATTGATCACCACGTTAAGCAGTTGATGATTTATATTTATATTTATATTTATATTTATATTTATTATTATTATTTTTTTCTGCAAGGTGAGCTGGTGCCTTATTAACCTTCTGTTTGAAATTTTGAAAAAAAAAGAGAGGAATTTTTCTTTTTTCTTTTTTCTTTTTTCTTTTTTTTTGTACTTTCTTCCTATAGTAAGTGATTCAAGATTGTAGGGGAAGGAGATAAAGAGTAAGACCACACGTTTGAAACCCTTGTAAAGCAAGTATAAAAGTTTTTTATGTCAATGATAGTCACTTCAATTACTAAGACTCTATATAATTTATGAAGTTATTATTTTAATATAAGAGAATTCAAATATATCTACTGAAAATAGCATAGCATGAATTAATATAAAATGATACATAAGTTTTTTGTTAGCAACTTTCATCAAATGAAAATATTATAACTATAATATTATGTAATATTATAAATTTACAATATAATGTATTATTATATAATTAATTTTTTTATTTAAAATTTTATTTATAATATTATATTCATCTATTCATTTAATATTACATAATACTCATTTAATGCACATCATGATTAGAAGTTTGTAATTTTTATGTAGTATTATAAGTATAACATGTCTTCGATCAAATGAAGGAATTGATTCGTGT